TCTGATGCCTCACCCCGTCGAGACTCGACGGATCTCGTATTTCCATTCTCGATCGCCCCGTGACGCCTCGTATCATCACCTGTATGTACAATGTACAATGTACAGTCTTTTGATGCGGTGCTACCTGCTAAATGACAACTCTCTACTGGATACTGCTTCGGACACTTAACTTCAAATACGTTTGCTTACGTTTCTTCTTCGAATCGTTCGTAGGAACGACGATACAGTGACAAAATGAACGACGATACAGTGACAGTAAGTGACAGCAAGCGATTAATAATAAAACGATATAATGGCATAAACTATCGATATTGCTACAATTATTGTACGAATCCTAATCTGCTACTGCCTTTAGTCCCTTTGTTTCGCTTTCTATCACACCTCGTGGATTATTCCCCATCCAATATTATACCACGTATATCGGTGCTCTTAGACGAGCTCTATCTAATGTTATAGAATTCCCAATGGTGGAATTTTAGCTTTGTCAACTTTGTTCTTATAATCGATCGGCTTAAAAGAGACAACGAAACAAGTAAAAATCCAATAAGCGTTTACTAAAACTTAAACTACTAGAACTTAATCTATGGCATAAAATCTAAAATATATATAATTTTTCTTTTCTTTATACGCGATATATCATTTTGAATAAAAGCCAACAACGTTTACGAGAAACAGTACATTTGCGGCAGTACATTTACGGGAAAATTCCAACTCGTATTTGTCCCTTGTATCACGCGCTATGAAAAATGATACAGAAAATGAAACAGCCGCGATCCGAACATTGCTCGATAGAAAGAGAAACCAAATATGTATGTATACAATAGTTTATCCGAATGACCGATTATAATATAATTAGTGGAGCAGAAAGTAAGCCACGCATCTATCGCTGGCGAGTGTCTTGTAACGGCGTATGAGGTATTTGTATCTGTTTTTAATTTTACAGGCCGGTCGAAACCTTTTACGAATGTATTTACATGGTTACTCGCACGTGCATGTTCGTGCGAGATACGATGCAAGCAGTGCGTTAAAGCTGTTTAAGCCGATCGAGATATAACTTAACTACGATTGCCTTTTAAACGAAATTAAGTTTATAATGCGAGCTCCCTGGGCAGCTTTGTCAATTTGTTGTCAAAAAATAATTTTGAACATCGAAGATTGGGCAAATCTTGGGCAAAGATTGGGTCCCTTGAACTTTGTCGTTTGAAAGCAAAAACGTATCTATCGTGGTGACGCGGGGGAGCGTCGATGTCGTAATTATCCACAGACTGTTGCGAACAAGTGGATGCATTTATATTTGCATTTGTGGTAAACTAGGGCAGAGAATGTCATTTATCGAAACGAAATTTTAGCTAGTGCTCGATTAAGTGAACACGAACGCCAATTATTCGAACGAGAAATCATAGGTAGTAGAGAGATTTGGTGAATTCCTATTGTATAACCTCTAGTTACATGAACTGTTTGTCCCTCAACGGGTTCGGATAAATGGAGTTCTATCGTACAGATAATGATACGAATGCGTTGATATCGGTCTTCTGCCGATCTTACGATGCGCTGTTAAATTATGAAAAAATCTTAAATTAAAGCATCTACTCAGGAAATTATTGCTTATTGCTACTACGAATTACCTATTATTAGATCGTGGATGTTTATGGAAATTTACATTTTCATAGATTCTTACATTTTCATTTCAAAAAGGAGCAATAGAATAGGACAATTAAACGCTCTAATTTTCTTTCATAGCCTAAAATTTTACAACGAATACTTTACCTTGATACTCGTATTTCGTATATTCTTGTATACATTGTGTAAATTTGTGCACATTTAAGTTTTCCATAACGTTTTATTTTAACATTCATGATCGATCAACTGGGTCCGGTTCTCATACCGTTCCAACATCTTGTAGAATTTATCGTAAAATGGACCTATATATCGCGGTACATCATCGGTTCGTTAAATCGTTTCTTACGTGAAATTACGTATTACGTAAGATCAAGACACATCGATGGGCGATATCGTGCAAGAAATAAACATTGCTAGTAAGTAAACTAGCAATTTTTATATATTCTTTATCGTTCGACGATGTTTTGGAAACTTGCCAGGATATCGTGGAAAATATCATAACGCTGTGCTGTAAATTAGTGCGATCAACCAACTCTTACAGTTTGTTGAATTCGTTAGTCCCCTCTTGCCCCATTAACCTTGGAGAAATGCAGATCCTCGATTTTCATTAGTACCTATCCTCTTCCCATGCAAATTTCATTGAATCGAAGATTTCAGAATGGCGTGCGTTTCTCGTTATTTTAAAGATATTAATTATTATGTACATTCGTACGACATGTTATCCCATTTCAACTTCTCTCAGGCAGGTATATTTATTATTACAGATACATATATGTACGTGTATGTACGTAGAAGGTATAAATAATTGTTACCTTTTTTATCACTTATCATGTTCAGCCCTTAACTACTGTTTTTCGTAGCCATGTCCTTATTTCATAGACTATTTCCTATTAAAAGGTGTTGCAGCGAATGAAACGAATAGTAATCGAAAATCAGATGATTACCTCGAAAAACAGAAACGTATTAAGCTTTCTACTGCGACGTTAACAAGCGTTAACAAGCGATAGCGTCTCGTTATTGTACATCCATTTTACGTTTAATTTCACACTTAACGGTTTAGTCTTTAGCGAAAAACTAACGACTATCGCTGGTATTCGGATTATTCTTCCATTATTTTTGAACGATTAATGTCAAGTTAATAATTAAGCTGAAAATAATTAATTAATTAATTATGAAACTAATCAAGTCGAAAATGAATAAAACCGCATGACACAATGAATCGCAGACACGGCATGTATTAAGAGTTAATAAGTATTAAGTATTAAGATGTTAATGTAAATAGGAGAGGCGGTTTGTCGTTGATATGGTAGCTAAGGTCTCTCTCGCCGTATAGTGGTAGTTTAATTAGGAAACACGCGAAAGCAACTGCCGGACGTTTACACGGTTTTGAGATCGGCAAAGCCGAAAACAATCGTTGCCAATGTCCTTGGAGCCCGCAGGCTTTGCCCGAGAAATTAATCGGACGCCGCTGCACGCCGTGGCGGAGCAAACAGCAAGCTTCGCATTTACTCGCGTCTGCCTGCCTGCCTGCCTGCCTGCCTG